TATATACTAAGGACTTGTAAGGTAGAAAAAAATGCTGCAAGATGAACTTCTCAAAATTCCATTTAGTTCATTTTGTGTTGGCCATGTACTTCTGGGTGTTGGGATTACCATTAAAAGTTGTTTACATAACTAGTAAGACTCTATTGGAGAAAACTAAGTTTTTAAGTGGTAATCAATTAGAAATAGCTTCTGGGTTAGTGACGGAGTCAGTGTCTTATCTACTCTCCACTCAAGGACCCTATCTAGTACAGGGCTATGAGGAGTTCATATGTGTGTCAGTTGTATTGTTTCCAGAAGGCCTTGCTACATTGGTGTTTACCATTTCTACAGGTACTTATAGTTGTCTTGCTTCCTATGATTCAGGCTTCCCTGAGCACTGAACAGATGAATTTGGTGGAGATATCACATTTTGGGCTGAGTGTTCATAGTTCTCTCATTCTACACATTGTCTGGCTGCATGTCTTTGCAATTTGTTCCCATCTGTTGAAGGAGGAAGAGTCTTGATGATGGCTGAGAAAGGCCTCCATCTGAGTATAGAAGAGTATCACTGGAGTCACTTTGTGGCTATGTTCCTTTAATAGAACAATATTATTTGGTTTCCTCCTAGGTCCTTGGCCTACATAGTCTTAGAAACTTGGCTACCCAAGCAGTATTTTGTATGGGTTCTGTCTCATGGAGTTGGTCATAAATCTAATTAAAGAGTGGTTGATTATTTCCACAAGCTTTGTGTGACTATTGTAGATCTCCTCATATATTTCTAAGTCTATCCTTATTTTCTCAAGATTTTTCAAGAAGGGTCCTTGGATATCCCTTCCAAGGAAATCTATTTGCACCAAATAAACTGAAGCATTTTAGGAGTATAAAATATCCCGACCTGTGCCAGAGAAAATAAGAATCTAGATGTTATCTGTCAGAAATGGGGTTGGTGAAGAACTTTTTCCATTCTGTACACTGCTGTTTTGTCTTATTTGCTTTGTCCTTTGTCTTACAGAAGCTTCCCAGTTTCAGGAAGTCTCATTTAATATTTTTTGATCTGAGTATCTGTGCTACTGGTGTTATATTTAGGATATGGTCTCCTGAGCAAATGTGCTCAAGGATATTTCCTACTTTCTCTCACATCAGTTTCAGTGTAACTGGATTTATGTTAAGGTCTTTGATTCACTTGGACTTGAGTTTTATGCATGGCAATAGATAGATATCTATTTGCCTTCGTCTACATGTTGACATCCAATTATGCCAGCACTATTTGTTGAAGATACTTTCTTTTGTCCATTGCACAATTTTGACTTCTTTGTTGAAAATCAGGTGTTCATAGATGTATGGATTAATGCCAGTTTCTTTGATTCTATTCCATTGATCCACTTGTCTGTTTTTATGCCAAAACCAAGTTGTTTTTATTACTATAGATCTATAGTAGAGCTTGAAGTCAGGATAGTGATACCTCTGGAGTTTCTTTTATTGTATAGGATAGTTTTGGTTATCCTCTGTTTTTGTGAATAATCCAATTAAAAATGTGGTATGGATCTAAACAGAGAATTCTCAACAGAAGAACTTCAAATGGCAGAAAGACATTTCAGGAAATTCTCAACATCCTTAGTCATCAGGAAAATATAAATCAAAATCATTCTGAATACCATCTTACACCTGTCAAAATGGCTGAACTAAAAAAAAGAAAAACACTGATAAAAGCTTATGCTAGAAAAGATGTGGAGTAAGGGGAACACTCCCCCACTGCTGGTGAGAGTGCAAATTTGTACACTTTGGAAATCACTCTGGGGGTTTCTCAGAAAAGTGGGAATCAACCTAACTCAAGTCACAACAATATCACTCTTGGATATATATGCAAAGGATGCACATTAATACCACAAAGATATTTGTTCAGCTCTGTTCACTGTAACAATATTCATAATAGCCAGAAACTAGAAGCAACATAGATGCCCCTCACCCAAAGAATGGCTAAAGAACATGTGGTACATTTTCACAATGAAGTATTACTCAACATTAACAAAAATGAAATCTTGAAATTTTCAGGCAAATGGATGGAACTAGAAAAAAATCCTGCGTGAGATAACCCAGAACAAGAAAGTAAAAAACAAAAAGGTATGTACTCACTCATAGTTGATATTAAATATAACTAAAAGGATAACCAGGCTATAATCCATTAACCCTGAGAAGTTAGTACCCTGGAGGACCCTAAGAGAGATGTGTATGGATGCCCCTGGGAAGGTGAAATAGGTAAGATATCCTGAGAAACTTTGGAGCACTTTGGGGGAGAGGGAGGGAAGGAGAAGGGGAGGGAGAGGAGAACATGAAGGAGCTTGATGGTTGAGTTGGGAGAGAGACAGAGAGGGAGAGTGAGGAAAGAGAAATGTTGATGCAAGGAGCCATTATGGGATTAGGGAGAAATCTGGTGTCAATGAAACTCCCACAAATCCACAAGGATGACCCCAGCTAAGACTCCTCGCAAGAGTGGAGAGTGTGTCTGAACTGGCCTACCTACCCGTATAATTAGGTTGATGACCACCCTAAATGTCATCTTAGAACCTTTATCCAGTGACTAATGCATACATCCATAGCTAAGCACTAGGCTGAGCTCCTAGAGTCCAGAGGAGGGATTATATAAGCAATGGTGGCAAGATTATGATGGGGAAGCCAACAAAGACAGCTGACCAAGCTAGTGGGAGCTCACTGGCACTGGACTGATAGCTGGGGAACCTGAATAGGACTGACCTAGGCTCTCTGAATGTGGGTGACAATTGTGTAGCTTAGACAGTCAGCAGAGACATTGGCAGTGGGACCAGGATTTATCTCTAGTAGATTAACTGACTTTTTGAATGCCATTCCCTATGGAGGGATGTCTTGCTCAGTCTTGAGACAGAGAGAAGTGGATTGGTCCTGCTTCAACTTGATATGCCAGAGTTTGCTAAATACCCATCAGTGGCCTTGCCTTTACTTGAGGAGTTGATGGGGGTGGTTGGGTGGGGAGAAGGTGGGAGTGAGCAGGAAGAGGGGAGGGAGCCGCAAC